ACCACCTCTAAAGACCAACAGTTGCAGCTGCCCCAGCGTCAACATCAGCATCAGCAAAAGCTGCACCTACAGCAGCGTCAAAAAAAGGAGAGTCAGCAGCCTCCAAAGCGGCGCCAAAATAATCGCAGCACGGGCACCAGAGAGACTAACCACAACGGCCACAACGCCAGCAGCAACGGCGCCTGAGGAATCCAGAGAAACACTGCATAACTACACTTCCGTTCAACTGTTTGGCTGGCTATGCAGATATGCCTGCAGGATTATACCCAGGAAGAGAGGCGACATTTATGAAAATATCTGAAGCAGTCTCGACTTGATTTTTACCTCGGAGACGCAATTGAACTCGAGAGCTGTTTTTAAATAGGTTGTACTTTGACTTCTATGAATCGAAATGTGCTGCTGTTTCACTGCGCAGAATGGAGAGCGACGAAAGCCACAGCAGCGGGTCCGCTGCGCCTGCCGCAGAGCATAGCATTGAGAAGGAGGCGTTTATGTCTCTGGCTCATGCATGCCCTCACCAGCCTCTTCACTACTCCTACGCCTTGACTCCTTCTCGGTGCTTCGGTCTGTTTTGCTCCGCCACAGCAGCAGATCAGCTGAAGGTGGAGCAGCAGTGCCTCAAGTGCTTCAGTGACTTCTTTCCTGCCCTTGCCCCACACCCTTCGTCTCTCTCCTCACAAATCGCCTCTCCAGGCCACCCACAAAACCAGCAGCAGCTGCAGCAGAGAGGGGAACAAGGCAATGCTGAGGATGAGGAGGGCAATGCGGACATGCCTATAGAGGATTTAGAGTTTCTTTGGAAGCGGGCAGCACGTCAGGTGTCTCTTCACCGCAGCCGGCATGTCGCCTTTCTTACAAAGCATTTAGACGTACCCTTTTCAGAAGAGATGATGGAGTTGGCAGCCTCTAGGCCTTGGCTCATTTACTGGATGGTTCATGGCCTCGCCCTGCTTGAAGCCCTTCCGAGAGCTACCTATGCCGATCGGTACGACATAATGAAGTTTATTCATTTATTGTACTTTGCTCATTACGACAGCAAGGCACTTGAGCGCAAAGCAGCGTTCATACAGAACACAGCCACGCAAGCTAGCGTATGGGTATCTGTGGCTTGGCAAGTCGCGTGTATTTTCTTATGCGTTCATATGGAGCTGTTGACAAGTTCCGTGAATTAGCTTCTTGTCGCCTCCTGTGATGCACTCTTATATAATTATTTTTGCCTGCTATTTTTATTATTTTGTTGGAAATACGTTTAATGTGCCGCCCGTTAATGTCATTGTCTGCACTTGCTTCACTTGAACCATTGTGTGCAGCATCCTACAAACTCTAGAACGCTGCTGGGACAGCGCTTCAGGGGGCGGCTGGGGTGGGGGCCCAAATCAACAGTTCCACTTGGCCTGCACGTATGCGGCTGCAGCTGCACTTGTGGAGTGCGGCCTCGTGGGCAGATGGCTGGAAGGAGAGAAGGGCCTTAAGAGGCGTCAAGACCTTTACAAGGCGATTCTCAGTCTAAAAAGTGAATGCGGAGGCTTCAAATTGCACAGAGATGGGGAGGTCGACATGCGGTAAACACAGCGTCTACGTTTTGACGGGCTCAAAAACTTGGAACATGTGTCTGCAGTAAAAGGGCTTCAGTTTACGTTTCCAGTTTAAACGCGACTCGCATCACTTTCTTGTACTTGCCAAGGCTCGCTTCCTTGCACCGAATATGTACATCTTTCGTCCTCCGGTATTTCTGTTTGGTTGCTCGCATGCATTGCCTTGTACCCGTCATCGTGCTTCTCTACGTCTTCCGTGCGCTGCGGTCATTTCCCTCTGTCTGCCACTGTTTGTTTCCTCTACTGTCTGCTTTCTCAAGAGGGGCTTACTGCGCCATCGCCACGGCCTCCATATTCCAAGTTCTTACGAAGGACCTCACGAGAGGCCTTGCGGAATACGTCAAATCCTGCCAAGGCTACGACGGAGGCATAGCTGGAGAGCCAGGACTTGAGTCCCATGGCGGTTATTCGTATTGCGGTTAGTCAAACACTTTTTCTTCTATATTGATTTCTCTTTTCCTTCTAGGTGTCGTCGTGGCTGTCCATGTGTATTGCATGTATGTTCGTTTGCGGGTGTGTTTCCTTCTGTTCTGAGTAATTCGTATTTCTGTTCGGCTTTTTCCTCATTTTCCGTTACTGCTTCGATGTGCATACGTCTCAATGCGTCTGTTGTCTGCCTGTATCCTTCTGTCGCCATCAGCTTCGTGCGTGCATCCGTGCATATTTCACCCTGCATCAAACTTCTGCGGTTTTCGGTACCTGTTTGTGCTTTTGTCGGCCTTGCCTCCAAGCAAGGCCATGTCACCACAACAGCAAAAGCAACAACAGAACAGGTTTCAACCTAACTTGAACTAAGGAGATAGGCTGAGCGAACCACGAAACGCAAAGGTTGCTTGACCTGCTTTCTTCGTGTTTTCAGGACTTGCTGCTCTCGCCATCATTGGAGAGCCAGATGCGTTGGACTTAGACGCTTTGCTCCACTGGGCCGCCACAAAACAGAGAGGATTTGAAGGAGGCTTTCAAGGAAGAACGCAGAAGCTTGTGGACTCGTGCTACTCCTTTTGGCTTGTGAGGATTACTGGGAGTGTACACACCACCCACTTAGCCCTACAACTTCTGACCGTGCATTCAGGGGATGCACCCAAGCTACTGCATGCATGCATATTTGCGAATTTCATTCATTGGCTTGTCTGTACGTGTAGGTATTCATGCTTGTGTGCTCTTTCCATCTTTCACCTCTGGCTCAGTGCGTGATTTTCTCTGCATTTGTCTGTGCCTTCTAACACGTTCTGAAAGCTACGTTTCCGGGTACCTTCGTCTGCACTTGCCTTTCCCTGTACAATTATTAGGGAGCCATGTTTCCCTTGATTTCGGAATGCCTTCGTCATCTCCAACGGGAGTACCCAATGACACATTGCTTTATGTCTTCGGCGCATCTCCAGCAGTACATCTTGTGCTGCTGCCAGGCAGAAAATGGAGGGCTCAGAGACAAACCCGGCAAGTACGGTAATGCGAGTTTTTGGAAAGCATTTACGGTACTGATTAGTAGATTCGGCAAGTGTGCATGAGTATATGAGCGAATTACCAATAGACATATGCATCTGTATGAAAGCGTGTTAATTGTGCGCAAATGCGAACCCGTGTGTATATCGGAAGACACAAGCAAACACACACATAATGGCTTCATCTAAAAGCTCATGTTCTTCAAGGTAACACAGGCTCTATGCAGATCAGCAAAGAGGCATGCAGCTTATGGGTTCACAACCATAGGAACTTACTTAGGGCTACTGGATGCATGCACGCGGGTGCGCTGCAGGCCTCCTGACCTCTACCACAGTTGCTATGCGCTCTCCGGTCTATCGATCAGTCAGTATGCTGCGTGCCGAGCGGAATCCAGTAGAGGGCCGTATGTGTATGGATGTTGGAAGTCAAATTTGCTGCAGCAAACAGATCCCTTCTACAATGTTTGCTGCACACACATGCAAGAATGTAGAGAGCAACTGAAGCAATTGCCGCGTTTTACGGCGCCCGACACGCAACACGCTGGACAGGAAGGAGACCTCCCAAGACTCAGTGCTGAGTTGACCGACAAGCTATCTAGGGCAGCCATCAACCTGCATGAAGACGAGGGTAAGGAAATGTGGCATCTACCATGCCGTTTGCTTGTCCCAACCCCTTTGTGCACCTGCCTTTGCCTCTGTGCACCTTTATCGCCGCTCGTCGGCTTGTGGTCATGCTCATGGTCCTGCGCGTTTCTGCACAGATGCGTCAGTGTCCGTGGCTGCGTTAGACTATACATATATCTAGTGATATGCCTTCCCCTTCATCTTGTCCAATATATGCCAGTGTCGTTGCTTGCGCCTGTATTTTTTGTCTTCCATTCCACCTCTAGCGGTGGGCCAATTCTTGAGCGAGTGTGAGCCTTTGTGCTTGTTTCTGCTGGGCTTATTACGCACACGCAAATACATGTGCCTTTGCCTCTTTGCATCCGCATATGTACGGCTGAAAAAATCTGCGTACATGTGCATCCATTGGCCACCGTGTCTATCTTGAAGGAGTTAACGTTCATCAAAGCGCGCACCCATTCAAAGTATGTCTACGTGTCTCCCATGCATTCTGAATTTCTCCTACTATGAAAAGCCTTTTCCTATGAATTTAGCCTGCTTAGTTGGTTCCTTTTGTGTTTAGGTTCCGAGTGGGTGGACCCGGAGAGCGAAGCAGAGTCTTCCTAGCTTCAAGCGAAAATTGCAGTCGCAACAAAGTAAATTCAGAAGGCCACGGTCGATGCGACAGGTCCAGAAAAGACTCGATGAACTGTCTTCTGTTCCCTCGCTTGTTGTTTTCTTTGCATTGAGGCTTACTTTTTAGTGTAGGCGCCCTTTGAAGAAGCCACTTTCCTGTTTCTGGACCCTTGTGTAACACGGCGTTCTTGGTCAGTTTAAAGACACGCGATTCTCACAGAAATAGAGAAAATCAGCTATGACAAAGCAAAGGAATGCTTGTAGAAAGACAAGTGAGCAGAGAGGTCAAAGAACACTTACAGGATGCAGGTGTACACCGGACTGAGGGACAACGGCAAGAAACATGCGGACAGATGCACACGGAACCAAACATAAAAGGCGTTCTCTGGGACTAACAAGTGGACTATGCTCCAAATTCTCATGGGGCTGTTTCACCAACCGAACGCGTAGACTGCTCTGGAAAGAAATCTTGGGGGAGTATGCTCTTAGCTTCCAAATGACGGCTTCCAAATGACGGCTTACTCCGTCCTGAAGACTAAATTATCAAACCCTAAGAACTCCGCTCCTAAAACAGTCCCATAGGTTCAGACACTACAGTTCAAACATTCCTCAAGAAGGCCTTATTGTAAATACGCTTCACTCCGAGCGGGGGAAAGGTGGTTCTATTTAAACTGCCTTGATGAAGAAGCAAAATATGCAGGTGTCTGCAAGTGCAGTCTTGAGGTCAGAGAGCGCGCTGATCCAGGATGCCAAAACCGTGCTCTTCATATTCTTGTTTGCTGATCCACATCTGCTGAAATGTTCCTAGAGACGCCAAAATGGAACCACCGAGCCACGCGGCAGACTTCTTCTCGGCGTAGGAATTTGCAAAGACGACACGTGATTTCAAACCCGAATGTGACGTCGTTAGGGGGAAAGTCTCGCTATCAAGTTCCGCAGCAAAGCGGCTTGCTAGGCCTTCAAGTAGCAAAAAGAAGCACAGACACAGCCAGAATAAAAAACACTTCGATACTTATGGAGAAGAATGGTACAAGCAAAAAAACCCCAGAGAGGTAGTACATATCGTCACCTCAATAGACACCTAATGGGCACTGATGGAGATAAAGTGACATGGAAATTCACAAGTCGACAAGAAGGCACAGAAGCAGAGAGTAACGAATGGAGCGAATACAGCAAAGTGGGCTAAGGGGTACAAGCAAGAAATACGAGGAGGCGAAAACGAGGATGCCTGTAAAGGAGCAGCATCCATGAATTCTACTGACACGGCCACCAAATAGCAGGCTGCATGAAGATATTCGTACGGGCTAGACATAAAAAGCAAAACGCATATGGACTCCAGAAGTTACAAATTGAGAGCCTTCAGTCTCCGTCACCTGGTGTGAGTGAAAGCCCGCCAGTTAAAATGACAGCTGAAAGAAGATCTCGGCGGAGGTCCACATCACAGTCGTACAAACAATCAGCAACGACCTGAGCACACGAAAAACCAACCTGAGGCGGAGAACGTCATCAAGGAATAAAACTAAAATAACCTCTAGAAAGAGAAACGTAGTGGGTACCGAGATTCCCAGGCCATAATTTATCACCTCTGTGATTCCTTTAAATCCCTGTAGAAGATCTGTTGAGCTTTCCGCTGGCGAAATCCCCTGCAGCTGCTGAAGTGCACGCAGGGCTTCTGTTGGCCTAAAAAGAACTTCGCCAATAGTTTCTCTAAACGCTCCACAGTTGATTACGGAACCGTCGGGGAGCTCAAAATGGTACGGGTCTTCAGGCGTGTACGCAGCTCCTTTATCCTGGGTTTCGACGGCAGTAACGGACAGCGGCAAATTTGCATCGCCGAACTCCCTCACAACGCAACATGCCTCCCGTAGGCGGCGGCAAAGAGCCAGCGTGCTAAGTCGAAGCAGTGATCTGCTGCAGTTGCCCCTGCTGCTGCAATTGTAGCTGCTGCGGTTGGAAAATAGTGGCAGGAACAGCTCGTCCACATGGTGCTGTTGCTGCTGTTGCTGCTGAAGGTGGCGTTTGAGCACCAACTCGATCTGCCCGTCTAAGAAATCTCCACCAACAGGGAACAACTTGGTGCTCCTGTGGAGTGTGTATCCATCAACAACTGCAGCAACGGATCCTCCAGCTGCTCCTAGCTCAACGACAAGGGCTGTGCTGCGGCCCATCGAGAATGCAGCGGCAGCAGCAGCAGGGACAAAGAAAGCAGCTGGAGCTTGTAGGTCTTCAAATACGGCAGCGGCTAGTGACTGACGGAGAGCTTTCGATGTTCCTGTTGGCTCCACAACGAGCACAGGATGCTCATGAGTCCAAACACCCAAGCCGCCAAATGGCGAGCACCCAAATGCCTCCACTGATGCGCTGCCGCCCTTGCTACTGCTGCTATTGGTTAAGCTGATATTTAGAGCCTTTGGGCTACCCTCCGGTAGATGAGCTGTCTGGAAGACACCATTACATCCTGCTGCTGTCTGTTGCCGCTGCTCCCGCTTCGTGCAGCAGCAGCTGCAGCTGTGCTGGCTATAATTGGCCTCTTCAGCCTTTTGCTGCTGCTGCTGCTGCTGTTGACGTCTTCGTGTCTCCGGAGGTCTAAGAGTTCTCTTGTTTGCTTCGCTTTCGTGAACATTCCCCTCAATGCATATTCGAACTGCAGTCGAAAACGCACTTCTGTCGAGCTGCCTAAAGAGCCCGTGTTGCTGCGATTGCGGCAGCTGCAGCGCTAATTTTTTACTTTCTTCCACGGGCCCTGTAGAGCTTGCGATGCCCCCTAGAGCAGGGCTTGCCGTTGCTCCAGCTGGTTTTTCTTTCGGGGTGGCAAGTATCGGATCTACTTCAGTGTGTGGTGTCTGCAGCTCTAAAGAGACGGGAAACACAATCTGTTGATGACTACATTGGCAGCTGCAGCACGCGTTGCCCCCTGAAGGCCATATAAATGGGCCCCGGCTATAGAAAACAGATGGAGATACACCACTTGACTTAGTCCAGTGTAAACAATTCCGCCTCCGGTGCTGCTGGTTCTGTATATCCCTGATGTCAGTGTCTGGGGGCGCACATAGAGAAGCTTGAGACCTACAACAACAACATTCCCCACAAAACAGCCCGTCCCCTTGCTGCTTGTTCTGCAAGCGAAGCTTCCTCCTACCCACAAGAGCATCAGCAACGATTCGCGGGTGGTCTTCTTGCGCATATCCAACACTCACAGTTGAAGACCCTAGTTGGACCACCACAGCACAGACGTCCTCACCACCAATGGGAGTTTTCATGTTGTTGCTGCTGTTGCTTGTACTTTTGCTACCCTTTGCTCCGGAAGCCGGAGGCGGAGACGCTGATAACCCACTCATCTTCTGGAGCAGCGATCCCAGCTTGATGCATCGGTGGTGGGACTAACCGAGGATAAGAAAACCCATACGAATGCCGTGATAAAACAGACAGACAAATTGGATGTGCTTGTCAATGGTGCAGGAGGAAGAAACACTGGCGGGGTTAAGAAATGGATAGGCCGCCACAGGGGCCCTTTACAGGTGTCTTGGTGGCTTTGTTATCGAGAAGGTAGGCAGCCCTTGGGGTAGGAACTCAAGCATATTCATTAACCTATATTTTAATGAAATCTACAGTAGCAGTGAAAAGGGATCGACTATGAGCAACGCCAGCAAAGCAACGCCCTGAACAAACAAGGTAAAGCCTGGCATTACAGTAAAAACTGGGACTTCTGCCGACAGATCCAAGAAGTCCAACACCGTTACGCTAAGCCAGAATTTCAAAACTAGTCATAATTATTCAATAAGCAACACGATTACAGGCATAAGGCTCGCAAGCCAATAGCACTAAACGGGGCTGGAGGAGACTGTCTGCACAACGCAAAAAAAAAGACAAAGCTGTTTTGATTGTCTTCGAAAACCTATAGGTTTCAAGCTACTACGCTTCCGTATACTAATCCCTAGAAATTTAGGGCTAGTGAATGTCCACTACAAAGACCAAGCATATTATGGAGTAATACATGCCGCCCGTCAAAGAGCTTGGTGCACGTTTGCAATTTGTGTTCGCAGAGAAAGCATGGCAATGTGAAAATGCTATAAATTTCCACTCGGTTTTCTAGCTGGGCACCGCTTAGGCGCACAATATGGGAGTCGCCCAATCCGGCTAGTGCTCCAAACGTAGGCTTCCCTGTCTTCGGTGACGTTGATGATTGGGAACTGCGTATTTCCATCCATGAGATGTGCTCTCCCTTGAGCTGTCCTGGACTTCTTATGGAACAATTTAGCCTTTTTCCCCCCAGCAGACTAGAACGGCCCTGGAGCAATGCAGCGTGCGCCGTAGGCCCAATGGCCCTTTGTGGGCTCCAGCTAGTATATTCCTGTAGCTACTACTACGACATACCTCCTAGCTGTCCTCAGTATACTACTGAGGTTAAAAAAGACCAAGGAAGGTGTACAAAACAGCGATGGGCTGGGTCGATGCAGTCAGCGCAACAGACACAATGGGGACGAGGGGATCCAACGCTGCTACCAAGTGCGGATCACCGTAGAGATCCAAACTGGATCCGTTTCTGAGTCAGAATTGTCCAAGCAGAATCCAAAAAAGAGTTGCAACAGTCAGTCAGTGCCTAAGGTGGTTAAGCAATCCGGAGACACTGGTACGGAGCGTTAAAGTCGTCCGCTGTTGAACTAGTGATACGATTGCGGTCACGACAAAAGAATATTAAGCTGGACAAACAGAATGCTTGCTCACTGCGTCGCGATGGCTCACGCTGCTTCTAAGGGCGTGCTTTGTTGTAATTGATGCTCTAGCTAACAGCGTACTCCAGGAGTTCCCTTTGACACTTTTACTTATTGGACACCACCCTCATTGGCTCTATTGTTCCATAGGGGGAGACGTGTAGCAGCAGCCTTGGCGGGACTAATTTCCCTCAAGACTTTCATGCTTTTCACCTGCTGTGTTCAGTGGCACTTGGAACTCCGGTGATCTGTTGTGTGGAGCTCCAATCGACTCTTCTCATGAAGGCTACTGACTTTGCAATAAGTCTTCTGTTTTCTGCCTGCACACCGGCAGAACTTTTAGTTTCCTTCATTTCAATGAGTTTCAGCACTGGAAGCACCGTGTGCCGCTTAGTCCAAATGTAATTTTTCAACTTTCGTGTCTTCTGTTTGAACGATAGTTTTGGTCTTCCAACTGATTCTGCTGTCCCTCTTACAGTCTTATTCTTGCCTTCCATCAAGAATTTATATTCACTGAAGGCCGTTTTGAGAGGCAACAGGAAGCCTTCGCCCTCCGCGTTAAGTGCGATTGTGCATGCTGCGCCGAGCATTGCACTGCTGAGAAGAAACATCCTTCAGGATTTGTAAATCGCGGCACAATTAGCATTGGGACTAGCGTTAAATTGGGTCGCGTTGAAAACCAAATTTTTACTACAGATGGTGCTTGGGATACTTTTAAACTAGTCCAGATTGGCGGGCCTGAAATGTCAGTTATTGTGCCGCCAGTCACATTTATGCCTAAAAAGACAAGAAAAGACGTACCTCTGTATTCGGAACCCTCGAACAAGACAATAGCAACGCTTGACGGTACTAAATGCATCGTTCAGTTTTTTTCTAAATAAAGGCAGGAGTGCACGTGTGCGGCGAGCTACGGATACCTTGTTGACGCTAGGCTGGGAGTATCTAGCTACGATTGCTGCCGGCTCTAGCATATTTTTTCTTTTAATGATGTGTGCACTGAAGTAATGAAATTTAATCTTACTAAATTCTGGAACCTCTAACGGCACACACATCAGTGCTTACTATTCAAGCACCCACATAAAGGGAAGGTTATAAGCGGACAGGACGCAAAATCCGCCGAAGTACAGTGCATGGGACGCCCTTCAAACCGGGCAGATGGCAGCTCTTGTTCTCACAACACCAAACCATCAAGGCAAGTGCATACTTCCACAAAAGGTACCTATCAGGGAGTATTCAGAAAGGTAGCCCGGCCAAGCATAGGAATTATGGGCGAGGAACGCTAACCTAGGGGAGGGTGCATAGGAATAGGTTACTGTTCTATGTAGCAAGACAGCCAATCGCCATCGAAGTCTTCCCTTGCTGGAGGCAGAGGCCTCTTTCACAAGAAATTGAAGGACCACAGTGCGTCCTTTCTTCAGAAGAATCTAAGGTGTGTTTTAGGCAAGCAAAACCGCTCCGAAAAGAGCTGTGTATAGCTACTGCAAGAACCATTAGCATGGAGAGCCGAAGCTGTGACAGTAGCGCCCCCAAAAGCCGTATTACCCACCATGTGACGTAACTGATACTGAAAAAGTGGAGAACAGGACGAGTTTCGTTGTGAGCAGCTTGATATTCAGATGTTCACTGAGCGCCACAGGGCACTGTACCGTCTGGGCATAAAAGCTATGCTTGGTTCTGTTGTGCTTGGGCGTCGGCGTGAGGGACTTCACGGCGGAGGTGCATCACGCAGTTTCTTCAGCTTGGCCATTGGTCACGGCGCCTGACAAACGGTCTTAATATGCACTGTGAGTGTTCTGTGAACGTTGTCGTGCAGACGGTCTACTACCCTGATACTTAAGCACAGCAGCTAAACATGTCAAAACCCTTCCGTGGAGACACTGGTTGTTAGCTTGATTTTTTCGCCAATTTTTAACACCTTACCATCACTTACTTGAAAGGCGCACGTAATCAGATGGCGGATGCACTATCCCTCCCTCCAACGAACAGACTATTCGGCCTGCAGTCGATGAGCCCTCTAATATCTGGCGCTTCCCACGGTTCGATCGCCGCGTTAGCAGCGGTGGTGAGCCATATACCAAATTTCACCCAGAGGCGCCTGAAAGCATATCGACAGATAACAGGAGTATGCTTGGTGGTGCTTTCAGCCCAGTTTCTGTGGGCTGTCTTCTACTCTTTCAATGGATACGTTTTGATCAGGCTTCGACTTCTTTCCAGCATCCGTCCAGCACGCGCCATCCCTCACACACGTCGGCCATCACTAAGGCACAACCCCTTGCCGGGAGCTGGAACTCCCTTTCTCCCCGGCGAATTTTGGTTTATCCAAAGTGCCTTGTCTTCCGCAAACCTTACCGTACTCCAGTGCTTCAAAATAATGAACCTTTTCGACGCGCATTCTACAGTCCCCAGTTTACTTTCTGCCTCGAATTGCTTTGCCTGCGATTTTTGCGGAGTTTGGCAAATGCATATTTCGCATTTCTCTGAATTCCTTATGCACATGCTTTACAAGCTTCCTAGTCACGTGGCAGCCGAGCATCGCGGGCAGGTGAAGACCTTTGTCACCCTCAGTGAGTATTAATACTGACAAGGAGGTACTACGACATATGCACAATCTTGTATTCACCGCCGTGCTTCCAAATTCCTCAGTGGGAAGCCACTGGGAAATTTGGAACCCGTCAGGCTCCCCTCAGGGAAAAGCCTGAGGGGCTTCTCCAAACGGCGTTTCTTTCCTGTTGCCCCTGGAGACAGTCCGTTCTGGGCTTCGTTACGAACTTTTTTTCACAATTCCTCTGTGCACGACTCATTTTCGGTGCAAGTTGACTTTTTAGGCAATATGACCCACTTTATTCCAGCGAAACAAATAACAACGTTAGCAGCTGACACTGCAGAGCCAGCTGCGGACAGTCTCACTTGCTAGCGCAGATCTACTTAAGTTCTTATTTCTGATACAGACCCTCCTTGGCACTTAGAAAATAGCACCTCCCTTCTGCTCGGAAATGTGGCAGTGGCTGTGCACCCGACTAAGCATAAAATGTCCTATCTCTTCTACCACTTACAGACAGACGGGCAAATTGACCATGTTACTAATACACTAGGATAGGTTGGTACGGGTACACGTATATTCAAGCTGACAGGGACAGTGGCTCTCAATCTAGACTGTAGTGCGGCGAGTCATACCTGCACTAAGCTCTCTCTGCTCGAAATCATAGTTGGCAAAACCCTCTCATGGCCGCAGGCCTTGGCAATCCCGATGCTTTAGCACTCGCCGTCGCTCCCCTCACGACTAAGTTGCGTCACCAGCTCTGCAACAATGCGCAGAGTCACATCTTACGCGAGAACTCCCAACAAAAGGCATGCACAGACTTTAGAAGTCCCTCAGTCGAGTGCAATGCGGTGAAAACTGTTTCGCTGAACAGCAAACACTTGCCCTCTATAAACGCATGCTCTCCATTCGAACCCCGTTACGGTGGGCGCTTCAGCACTACCGGCCGTGTAGGCAAGGTCGCGTACCATTTGGTTTTGCCACCGGCGCACTGCCGCCTGCTTGAATTTGTGTTACACCACTCTAGCGAAAGAAGCCGCTTCAGCTTATGTCACGGCGCTTCTTATGGCCGCAGTATAACGTGTACACCCACGCTAAAAGAATGAAGGCAAGCGGGTAGATTGGACGCGGGTGATAGTGATGGATTTGTTAGAGAAGATACAGTAGGAGCCACCCTGGAAAGAGCAGCCAGCAACTGCCACTAGGATACACACAGAAGCAGATACCCAACAGCAGGCAAATAGCAGCAAAAACATATCGTAAACTAATGCAGAGGCAGCAAACGCCGCAGCTGCGGCCTGCGCAGTAGCATTATAGGTGGAAAAAGCTCCAAAAAGACAAAGGATGCTAGGAAGGGGAGGGCGAAAGTTGCTGAAAGCACCAGCGGAGAAATATGAGAGACGGGAAGGCTGCTGCCGTGCGTAGCATGACATGCTCTACAGAGACAGCCTTTAAATGCTGCCAAACATGAACAGATCTGGTTAGAGTATCAAAAAACTAGTTTGGACGAAGGAGTTTGGTTTTTGCCATAGCACAGGCTTATACTTGCCAAGGAGTCCAGCGTTTCCATCAAGAAGCGTTGTGCGCGAAGCTCTTGCTAGTTCTACCTGTGCTCGACACGTAAGTAAAAATTTTACTCGATTTATTCAGTTTGTACGAGAGGTTATTCGTACTCAACATCATAAGCAATTTAAGCATATTCTATTGCCGAAGTGATATTTGATTCCTTATTGAGATAAGCTACAAGAACCTCCTACGTCCATCATAATTTTCGTCTACTGCATCGTCAGTGTATTGGTTCGTGCAATATGGCTGCGGCTAACTGCAACAATAATGTACATCAGAATCGCTGCTGTGTAAGGTTGGAACGATGTACACAACTGCAATCCAGAAAGCAGCTCTGCAGAAATTACTGGGAAGGACTATGATGTCAGTTAAGTGCATTTACCATGGCCACCTAGGCTGTCTTGATCACCATTGTGTTGCTTGTTGTTCGCACCAGCACATGGTCTTTGCTCCGCACATTTAAACATTCGTCTCCTTCTAGCTTTGGTCTATTTTCAATATGGCCGTTCCAAGCCTATGCAATGTTTGGCTCAGGCTACTGGGGGTGTGTACAGATCTGTGTGTATCTTTTGATATATCAGTGCGTAATCCGTGAAGGGTCTTCACTTGGGATGTTCATATCCAGGCAACGTCCACCTTTGTCTAGACTAGTGAGCTAGGGTCAGTAACTATTATATTTAAAATGGGGAGCTCATGAGGCCAAAAAACTATTTGGACGAAAATTTTTGTGTAGTGGTTTAAAGTTCTGCAGTTTCCAAGGCCCTCCACGAATTGGAGTGGTGTAGTAGGCTCTTTCCTGCAGCAGATTGATGAGCGTTAGCATGAGCGACTTATTTGCTCCGCTGGTCATATTCTTCTTCTCAAAAGGTAACAACAGGACCACAAACTATGTTAATTTGAGTCACCTGTTAAGCATTGAAGTACACCTGCAAGCGCTCCTGGTGCCTGGGCTGCACATTGTAGCGCCAGGAAGAGTCAGCCTCCACCTGGCTACAAAAAACCTTTTCGAATCTCTGTACTTTTGAAAGTTGCGCAATTCGGCCAACTAATCGATTCTAAGGTGCGCAATTCAAAAATCCTTTCAAAGTGTTGCCCCCAATGCGGTGGCATTGGGCCAACTCGAAGACGAACTCCATTGTAGCTCTCTCATCGTCCACGATGTAGGCAAAAAAGCATCTGTTTCTTCTATTCCTCTTCATTGCAACGTTAAATATGCAGTTTTGGGCTACGGGCCTGGCCGTTCGCCATTCTTCCAGGTAGTCTCCCACCCACGGGGCCCCACAGTACCACAACCGCAACCACCACCACCTGTGAACCTCTGTATTCTATTTCTTGCATGTGGCAAAGCATCGTATGAATTAGAGCTGACGGCCTGGATTGTCTTCTTTTTCCATTCAAACGAAAACGTACATACCTTGGGTCGCCTATTAAACCCTGCAGTGTCTCAAGGTGCTGACCACTTAGTGGGCAGCAACATTTCGCAGAAGTCTCCCTTTTTTTTTGCTTATTTCCGCATCTTTTCTTCAAGCCAAGCCTCCTCCATTTTTAAAGAAGCGTCGCATACATGCTCGCTGAGTGTATGCCGTGAAGGCGGAACGTTGAGCGGTGGCAAGATTAGAATATGCACATCAGATCTATAACGTTACAAGGCTTTAAAACATACAATGAGGCAACGACCATCACATTTTCTGAGAGATGTACCTGCTTGAGTGAGGCTCTGGCCTTCAACCATGCACCTTGTATCCTGAGAGACTCGTTTGCGTACTCAACTTACTCGCTCCCTGGATATCTTCTTATCACTCCATAGGCTTTCCAGTGCATACAGCTGAAGCCTACTGGATTAGTGCCTGCGTGGGTATATGAGCAGTTGGCCATAATGGTAGTGGCAAGTCAAATATTCTTCTAGGAGTCTCTTTCGTGCTCGGAGAAATCGGAAACTCTGCCGCAGAGAGACGCCTACTTCTTCATGTAGGGCTTCTTCTGCCCAGAGCATTTGCTTTGTGACCAGTATATATCTCTGCCCTTGGAGCTTTATGGCGTGCAGCTAAGCGTTTAGCTGTTGCCTCTGGAGTTTGCCTGGGGTACCAGAACTGCTTGTCCACTTTCCTCGGTGGAAATGAGAGCTTGCCATTTTAATTTATGCAGGAGATTTGTTAAGAAAAATTTGGAGATTGAAACTGAACACCCACTAATTTGAGGTTGTGCTCAGGAAGGGATACACGGTCGAGTGGCCAGCGGCTTTGTCGAGCTGATGCTGAACAATGCAAATAGACAACTCTGCATGGTAAGGCAACAGCAGCGGTAGTCGTCGCTGCTGTGGTAACAATATTAATGAGCGAGGAGAGCAAACTGCAGACGCTCACGCGACCCAGGACAACGTCTTCCATTTGAAATAGGCCTCCAGACAACTTCGAATCGGCTGCTATGTTTCGGGTCTCAGGGCTTTCCGTTCAGTTCTGGGTGTCTGTGGTTCAGTTTAATGCGGATTCTGTAATAATTCGTCGCTCCTTTTCCCTAAGCTCTGACGACATCACCGTGCAAGGCAATTTAGTTAGGTGCGCCCACTTTTGTTTAGTTGGTGTCCCTGTCCGTGCCAGTAGTGCTCTCTCCATATCAAGGCCGTTCTCTCTCGCTTTGTTTCCGTCCCCGTTCTGCATCGCTTAACATGCCGCGAATATGTTTTGGCCATCTTTGCTTGGTCGTCTCCTCCCCTGTTGCCGACCTTCGTATCTTGCAGTATCGTTGAGCCGCACTGAGTCTTAAACAGGTCACAATGCTGTTGCCAAATTTCTTACGTTGGTTTGTGCAAATTTTATATCGGAGTGATTCCTTGTAGAAGCTTACCGCCTGTGTGCCTTCGCTTGCGATTCTAGGTCCTTACGTTTGCGTGCTTTTGTGCTTGACGTATTCAGCAAGGCGGAATTCGAACAGCTTATTGAATGTGCAAGTCTATCTGGGTAAGTTTCAAATGCCATTTTCTTTGCTGATGCAGTCCCTCACTCAGCGGTTTTTGGCTGCTGCTTTGACTGTTGACGATGCGGCTGCTGCTGTAGTGTGTTGCCGCCGCGTGTTGACTGTGATTTCGTAGTGGTGGCGACCGTGTGGGCCGCAGCGGCACTAGCAGCACTTTTATAATTCATCAAGGACGAATACAGGAGGTTGCGTTGCTCTCTGCTGCTGGTCGACTGCGTCTGCTTCTGTCTGCTGGCTCTGGCGCCTTCATTGATGCAAAAGCCAAGGAGACCGAACAGCTACTTCAGCAAGCAGGTCAGAAAATACCTGTTGTCACCGGAGCTAGTGCAGGATCCTCAACATCATTCACAGTAGATACGGTGCACCCGAGAGATGGATCAAGTACAGCAACAATAACAGCACCTCAAGCACCTCAAGCATCAGCAATAACAGCATTATCTGAAGTCACAAGCGCTAAAACTGTGGGTGCATACTGCTTGTGCTTCACTGCAGCAGTCGAGCAGGATGCTGTCACAAGGACGCTCAACGATCTCGAAAAGCAGCTCAATGACATGGATGTAAAATTTTGTAGACCCCTGACTCTAAAATTTATTCTCGTCTAGAAGGTAGTGGGAAAGAAATACATGGTGAAAGCGGCCTTGTGTTGAAGTTCTTTAGTGCCATAAGGCGCACCGTGGGGCAACGTGATAGGAAAATATGTCTTAGTCGTTCGCTCGTGGCTAGTCATACAGGATGTTGTAAGAGAGCATAAGAAAACGTAGCACAACAGTGCGTATTGCATGATCGTGATGCATAATCACGCAATGCCACATTGTCTTACATGCTACATTCCACAAAATCACTTCGGCATAAATTTGTCGGACCTTTGTTCTGGCAAAGCATACAGTGCACCTGATAATTTGAGCAGGAAGTAGACTGTGCGTGAACACAGCTTTTTATGTGGTATTGCTGCGCAGCAAGAGGTGACGTACGCAGGTTCGCGTTGCACAACGTGTTACAGTGCAATATGTTACGGTGCATCTCAAGATAAAGGTGTGCCGCTTTTGCTTTACAGAAAGAAAGGCAGGAACTACGTCTTTGTGTCGAGATGGAGAAAGAGAAGTCACATATTGAAGCTGCCATACATCGTGAGCGACCGACTATGTGCCTCAATTAAGCAGAATATTAAGGAAGTACGGGATTGCACGCAAATCACGAGAAACGCATGACTACACAAACATGCGCCATTCCTCAGTCTTTTATCCATTTTTGTTGTATTCATTTTGCTGCAGAGGCGGACTGGCTACAAGCAACAGAAGCCCTTAGGCAGTTAGAACAGCAACAAGAGGTCCGCATCCCAGTGTCATTCTGCTGTTTCAGCTGACTGCGCTGCTGATGCTTCTGCAAGTTCTAATTATGCCTTATGGACTCTATGTGATGTTACCGTTGCTTCATGTCATTTTTTCCGGCACCTTTATTGCTCGTTCTACTTGTTTCAGAAGCATCGGTCGTCCGTCCGCCGCCTTGCTGCTGCTGCTGCCGAAGCCGAGTCGATGCGAGACGAAGCAGCAACCCAGCTGGCGAATTGTAAACTGAAGCCCTCAGCAAGCCCAAACCCAACGATTCTTGTCAGCCTCGGAAAACACCTTGCATAGAAGCGGCAACGGGTGGATGAATGCAACCTTTGGATATATTGTGTTACCGCAGTATCTCTGGAGCACGCGTCTTGTTCCACAAAAAAGGCTCAGACTGAAAAGCTGGTTTGCGAGGTGCGTTGAACATAGCAAACTAATGAACTAATCAGTTGCTGGCTTGAACCGCTTCCGTTAGGGCTCCTCAACGAATTCGCTAAATGCATATGCATTAACCGAAAAACGTACACTAGCCTACGAAAGGGCACTTCGGAAACAACTGCACTGAAAGGGGGACTGTCACTTGACTGTTTTTGTGGTCGTTACGTTTGCTATCGCTATCGCTTTTGCAGCTGCAGTGCCAGGAAACCCGTTTGCGTTTGGAGTCAGGTCTTCTAGCTGAGAGGGCGGAAACCCAGCAGCAGAAATCTGATACTGCAAAGAAAGCACTAGAGGAGAAGAAACGGCAAATGCGGCAAATCCGTATGCATTATGCAACCCGTTGCAGGCTCTGACCTCGACTTCAGCAGGACAACATCGTTCGCGCTTGGTAGTAGCAGGGCTGCTTGTCTCGCGAAGCAGCTGCAGTTGGTCTTGACGGGTAGGCATTGAATGCTTAGGTCTGGCCGCTTGCGTTAATGCAGAGAAGGAACTAGAGGACAGCTTGAAGCCTCAGCATGATGCTGCTGTCTCTGCCTATCGAAAAGCACAGCTGGAACATGCACAGGTATTCCGTTGTCACTAGATGTTGTTGCTTATCGTCATTTCCCCAGTTGTACTGCTTTATGCCTTTTAATGCCTCTCTTTGCACGTTTTTGTTTGTTTGCCTGCGTCCCTCGATTTAAGAAGAGGGCCCATTTCGTCAATTCACGATCTTCTTCCTCTCCTGAGCAATTCCGCTGCCGTTTTTTCCCCCAAATGCTTTTAGTATTTGTTCTGCGTTTCTATCCTGGCGTTCTTTGCAGCTGCAGCAGCAGCTACAGCAGCTTCAGCAACGCTCAACTCGCTCGGTTGTATCTACAGCAGCACGGCAAGCGGCAATAAAAGAAGAACTTAAAGAAACAGAGCAACAACAAAGAGCAGATGCGGCAGAGTATAAGCAAAACAAACGAAAGGTCGCAAAAAAGCAGGCAGCACCTAGTGCAGCAGCTTTGTCAGCTGTCATGTGACATTGCAGTCCCTTATTTAGCCACACAGTACTATTAAAGTGCCTCGAATTTCGAGGGTATCTTTTGGTCTCCGGTTATATGTTTCGGTACAGGCTGAGCTGCTAAGAAAGGAAGTAGAAGAAGCGCAAATGGCGGCAGCGGCAAAAGCAGCTGCCGCAGCAGCAGCAGCGGCAATTGTGAAAGAAACGACAAGACAAATTTCCAGCCTAAAAACGGTTCGACCTTTAAAGTGTACACTGTTAACCGATTTTAGGCTTTCTTAGCGCCAAGGACAAAGGCGTGCAGTATCAAGTCCATCGTTTGGATTTTGTGTTTCAGCCGCTCGAAGAGGTGGTGGAGCAGCAGCGGCAACAACAAGCAAGGCTTTCAAACTTACTACAGCAGCGTAATGCTGCAGCAACGAGTATTCGGACAGCCACAGGTGAAAAGTGGCGCCTTAGTTTCAGCACGAACGGCAAGTGTTATTTGCTCACTGGATGCTGAATATCACTGGTTATGACCCTTATTGCTTGCCTCAGATGCGTTTTCGCGCTGCTTACGTAGCGATGCATTTTGGTCGTTGCACCATTTAGAAGAGATCGCTAAGAGGGAAGGCTGGGACCAAGGTGGAGGCATTGCAGCACCTTTAGCTAGCTTCCTGCACGTAAGTAATTGCAGTGCATCCAGATGTAGGGGGAGGGACATGCTCACCACGACTTCGAAGCATGGACTTCGTTGCTCTTTTTGTGTTTGTGAAGGTCGATACTGAGTACCATCGTGCCGTTGAATCTGTAGGGGGGTACTGCTTGTTTCACTTCGTTGTTAAAGACTCTGCAAAGGCGTTGGAAGCAGTGGCCCGTCTCAAGCAGCAGCAGCAGGAGCAGAAGGGTTCGCTTCTACAACGGAAGTGCTGTGTCTCTGTCATCCCCATAAAGGATGTAGCTGAGCAGCAGCAGCGCCAAAATAGCCGGCGGCACCAACAACTGCAGCAGCGTCTTCTCGAGGAAGGTGTCGCGATGCCACTCACGGAAGTGCGGATCTGCTGAGACTGCTGCAACATTGCTGCCGGTCACGAGATGTGTGTATTGCTGCCGCTACTAAGCAGGTATTTACTGCCACATTAAACAACTCAATCACTGGTCATTCTCCCTGCATTTTCTGTGTTTTGTTAATGCACAGTGTATTCAGATTTTGCCTGAGGCAGCAGGAGAGCATGCGACTGCTCTCGAGACGTACGTGCATACTGTCTTCTCTCGTTCCCTTCTCGTGCCTTCTCTGGATACACCTGAGGTTCAGAAGTGGAACAATATGGGTAAGCACGCTAGGAAGCAAGTCACTCTTCGTGCTTTTGACACATGCACAGCAAGGGCGACCAATCAAAGGGCGACCACACGCTACAAAGGCTTTGTGGCAAGATATCCGAAACACAAAGAAGCTGCCACATGCAAGAACGTAGTAAAAATGCTGCCTATTTTTCTCTTGCTGAAAATTCATCTAACGTTTCCTCGTAGGTTTCGACTGTGTCAACATAGAAGGGGACGTATCCTTTGCTTCTGGTGCCATGAGGGGAGGCGGGCACCCCAAGGGAGACAAACTTGGGGCTTATTTCGCGTAAGCTGTAGCATAGTGTTTATTACCTCTGAAGGGAATTGCTTGTCAAATCTTGGGCGTCTGCTTTTCATATGTTGCTTGCGCAACTTTATTGCATTTCAGTACCGGGTGCCTAGCCATCTGAAAGTGAAGAGCAATCACATTAGGGATGCATATGTCCACAAGCGCTAAGAAAGACCGTTCTTTTTATGTTGATGCGTGCGTAGCCGGACGTTGGAGCTATCCTGTGTTCTTGCTGCTTCGTTTCCTTGTTCGTTTGCCTGCTTTTGTGTGTGTCTGTATGCATGTCTCCTTCCGCTCTCTTCTGAGTCATTTGATGTGTATTTCAGTTTGCGCGAGTATAAGAAGAAACACAAGGACATTAGTGTCGAGTTAGATTGCCAGCAGCAAATGCTTGTACAACTCCAGCAAGTAGGTGAAGTGGCTTCTACTTCTGTAGCTCTCCTTGCTGCTGCGATGGTCTTTCCGGAAACTCAAATGCGGCAAACGCAGCAGCACATTGACGACGCCTGCTGTAGTATTTCGTCTGGCTTTGTTTGTTTCATCTCAGAGACACAAGGAACTGTTGCAGCAAGAGCAAATATTGATAGAAAAACGAATGGAAGCTTGTCATAACGCCGAGACAGCATTAGCAGAGCAACAGCAAAGCGAGATGTACGCACAAACCGAATCTACCTGATGCAACTCACCTCCAGGGGTTGCAGGCTATGTACTTGATTGCTGTAGCTGTCTCTGCGGCACGCAGTCAATGCTGATGGACCCACTGCTGATGCGCTCTATTCTTCACAGGGCCCACCGCGCTGCCACCTCCCTACTCTCCGCTTTGAAAGAAGAAGAAACGGCAACCGCAACGCGTGCTGCAGCTCGCAAACAGCTTGTTCAGTCGTAAGCCTCGGGCCCTTCATACAAGTCGTCAGCCTCGCCAGGATTCTTTCAGTTACTGAGAGAAGAGGGAAACTGACACGCCTTCTAAATGAAGACTAAGAGTCCAACGAACGTTTTCCCTCCAGTGAAAAAGCCCCACTTTTTGAAAATATGGTCTAGGACCGTGGAATTGCGGGTTCGTTGCATTTCAGCCTACGCCACGAAGCCTTACACGCCAGGCAGCCTGCACTAACTGCTGCAGAAGAGCAGCAGTTGAAGCAGCTACCACAGCTGCTCCAGCAGCAGCAAGAACAGCTGCTGCAGCTTCTACGCCGAGTTGAAGAGACAGGTGGATCCATCAGCAAGGCAGAACAACTACTTGAGGTCTCTTTGCGAAGAGCGATCGACCGTGTAATTAAGCTCTGAGTCCAAATTACAAACCCCTCTCCGACCCTGCGCCTCGCGCTCCGCGGGCCAATCGTAAACCCTAGCCGGACGGTTTCGATAACGAATCTTGATACACCCTACTTTCTGTACAATTTTATTTCATTGCAGCGGTGAGCATCAAATTTCGCTGTTTGTTTACTTAATTTCGAGCCTGCAGATGGAACGAGAAGTGCGGGAGGAGGAGGGTGAGAGCTTAGGGTTCAGGGTTTGCGAACGTGTGCAAGCAGAAGCATACGCTTTACTGAAATCTCGACAGCAGGTGCGGTAACAGAGCTTAATATTTAGGGCTCATGGCTAGGAGCGTAGCCTCGGCTATTTTGCTGCAGAGCCGCTTATTGACTTTAAGGACATTCTGCGTGCGCTGATGTGGTGACCGCAGCAAGAAGACACTGCTGCAGAATTGGAAGCGTCCCTGAGAGCCCTCGAAGTTCGTCAAAACTCAGGGCTTCAGAATGCGTGAATTCATTCGAGGCTTGGGAGTTAGACGTACATATCTTTAGGATTGCAGCGCTTAGGGTTTGGCTTGTTGGTTCGTGGAAAACCACTTGCCTTTCCAGAGGCTGCATGCTAGTCCCAAGTTGCAATGTCTGGAGTTGAGGTGAATGATGTGTCTGCAGAATGAGATGGCATCTTTACGTCGCCGACAGGATCTTGCTGATGCCTCTCTGCAATCGCTGCTGCAACAGCTCATGGAGGAGACTGCGTTGTTGCAGCAGGCCCAACTCAGAGTCGAAGGTTCTAGGCAAGTTTGTCTCTGCATTGCTTGTCTTGTTCCCGCAACTTTTTGCTACACTTGTATCTCAGTTGTCTAGGTCTTTATCCTTTACTGGTTATCAATGTTTCGTTGCGTCGTGTTATCTTAATTTCTTGCTCGCTACCGTAACGTGCGTGCGTTTGCTAAACAAAGACGTCTGCAGGCAGACCTTGCAACACTGTTGGCCGCAAGCTGTGCTGTTGCTGCTCCCCTTGCTGCTCCAACTGATGTTAGCCGCGAGGCGCTCCGGGGGAAGCTTGAAGAAATTAAAAAAGTACGTAATAAATATATAGATGAAGCAAAACTCCAAAACATAAACAGATGCATGCAAAACGAATTTCGCAAAAGAAGGATGCAGAGTCAGGTAGACAGACAAGGCACACCGGGACTGGGAAAACAGCAGAATAGGTAGCGAGAAACAGGAATAATAGAGTAACTTACGGGTGGAGCTGCCGCGCATATCTAGCCTTCAAATATTTGCTCTTTGTGTGAACAAACACAGCGTCTCTCACAATTCCCAGATGTTAATAGGAAGGCCATTGCTGAGCTCTCTACCATTACAGGTAGGTGCTGCTCCTATAGCTTGAATATTGCTATTTGCTCCCAGTGAAGCCGTTGCTGCGTCTTCTACTACTGCATAACGATTGCGTATGTGCTCTCCATTTAAGCATGTATTGTTGCTACTTCCCACGAAGCCGGTCTTGTTGCTCACACTTCCAGATGTTTTCCTCGGGGAAACTATACCCGCCGCTGCTGTTGATATCACTGTAGTACCAACAGCAACAAAACCGCGCTCAAGGTGTATAATCTTTTTGCAGACGACTTCAAATCTTTAAAACACAGAGAGATGCTGCAACGAGAGGCGTATCAGCTGGTGCAGCAACAGCTGCAGCAGCTGCAACTGCGGCGGCAACAACTGCTGCAGCAGCAGCTTCGTCGAGTTGACGCAGAATTCTCGGCTCTATTCAAGCAGCTCGTACCTGGGGGAACAGCTCGACTCGTGAGTGCTGAATATTTTGGAATAGAGGTTTGGACAGTACGCCTGTTCGAACCCGACGACTCTGTTTTCACCGCCGCTGCATAGGTCGTTGCTGCCGTTCCAATAAGTGCTATGGCTGATGTTCCGCCCATTTCTGTAGGAATTTCAACTTTTGTTGCTGCCGCAGGAATTGATTGAAGACCCATGCACTACATCAGCTGGCGAAATCGCTGAGCTGAGTGGTGTCGAAATTCAAGTGGACTTCAATGCAGCGGGGAAAAACGCAGAAAGCTTACCAATGCAGCGACTGTCAGGTATACAGCGATATTGCCGCCACTCTTTCAGTTGCCGTCCCTAACGCCGGAAATAGCGTTGGCATTGGCCCAAAACGCTTTTTAGTGGCTTCTATGAAGCATTTGCAAATATGTGAAAATGACGAGAGCAGCGGGACAAGCAGCAATAGGAGCACCGAGCAGGAGCAGCATATATATAGGATAACATAGAGCGGTAGGGAAAGAAAGAGCAGGAACGAGAACAAAACCAGAAGAGCGATCTGTTGCTCTTGCTGGTGCAGTTTCTGGCAGAAGTCTCTGTGCAAATGTATGTTGCAGGAGGACAGAAGGCCCTGGTTGCCGTGGCATTACTGCTTGCGCAGCAAATGGCTTCCGGTGGCGAGGGAGGCAGGGAAGGTTTGCTGCTTCTGGATGAACCTGACTCCGCTTTAGATGAGACTCACGCAAGACATTTGGCAGAGGCTCTCCTCAATTCAACTCGAAATCTGGGCTGCCAGATCATTCTTACGACTTTGAGGTCAAACGCTACACTCTGTTTTTCAACAATCCCCAAGTGTACAGATGCCGAAAGATCGGTTCGAAGCTGCTTTCACGGCGCCTCTGCACTAACAGTTAAAAGTTAACAGTTCGGTGTGTTCTATGTTCAGAAAGGAACTGCTGATTTGCGGTGATAAGTTTTGGCTCGTGCAGCAGCATCAGAGAGCATCTCAGGTGGCGGAAATATCGGAAGAAGAAGCGTCAGCAGTTTTCATAGATTTGCCCCAGATGCAGCAGCAACCGCGACAGCACCCGCAGCACCAGCGGATGTTGCCGCACCGCCATCTACCAGATTGCGTAGAGTCTCACGGGTAATTAAGCAAATAATGCGGTATCTCAAAATTTGGGGACAGCTTAGACGCAGCGTACGCATCGCCTTTGAGAGTTCGCCGTAGTGTCTGGTGAACTCATCTATTATCCGCGTTTTTCTGCTTGCTTCACCTTCTGAAGGACTTGCAGATTGAAGGAGGTCTGCATTCACGAAGTAACTAGCCATCGAGTGAGCGCACAGACTCATTCCACAAATATCTATCTAGCAATAAATTGCTTCCGCCTTCTCTCCAGTGTTGTTGCACAAAGATGCACGTTGCCAGAAGCGGCAGAAGCAGCACTCCTGCAAGTCAGTTCTCTCTATCGCAGCTTCTGCGGCTGTTGTCCCGTGTCTAGTTAGCGACGGAGAAGTTCTACCTAGCCGACTAGCTTTATACCTACGGGGCGTACCGAGGAAATCTAGGTAGGGTCGAAACCATATAGATAGCAAGCTGCATAGAGTGTGGCGACTTGTTTGCAATGACTTTTTGGCGGAGCTGCAAAGTGTAAAGGCGTTTGAATGCTTGTAAAGTCGAATGGTATTTCAGCCATGTAGACAAGTACGTGGTAAGCTAGCCAGTAGCCAATAAGTGCTTGTTCATGTCGGAAGGATCCCTTGTGCTGCTCTGGAAATCGGTCCATTACAGTGCCTGCTTCGTGGCAGCGAACTCGCAGCCAGTGAAACAGGGAATAAGGTGTTTCCGAGTGGCGCAGCTGTAAGCAGGCCACCGTGATGAGACTAACTACTTCGCACAGGCACAACCGGTTCTTCAGAACCGGGTGTCATCTTATTACGACGCCAGCTCATGAGGCCATACGGCGTCATCGGATACGACTGTCAGAGGCTTAAGAAGCCTTATCACTTCTTCTCCTCGCTTTTCATGAAATACCTTGCCTGCATTCTCATTCATAGCAGCCACACGCGAATTCACAGCAGAAGCCAACAAGAACACCGAGCACATGCCGCGCACCTTCATCCAATGCCTTGAAGAAGATCGTCCATTATTTGTACCAGCACTTAGCTTCTAATTTGGCACTAACAAGTCGGAAAAGTTTCGCTCTTCTAATGCTTGATTGGAAAAATTTCACGCTGAATTGGGAGTCTTGGTATGGCAAAATGATTCTTCCCGAACTTTCAACATCTATTACAAGTGACTTCAAAATTCTAATGTTGAGACTGACTGTATATTTTGAAGATGTATTACCGAAATGTTAAACACCAAAGACAAGTGCCTTCAGAACTTTTAGCGTATAGACTGGCTTGCATAATCCAAAGATATCGGAGGAAACTCGCTGATGGATTGAGGATCTGGCGAAGTTTTTCGTTGGAAATAAACTGGGCAGCATGCAAGTTGAAAGGATTTAGGCTGATCAGTGACGTTTGCTCTTTAAGCAGTGTGGGTGAGAATGCCTAGCGGGAGGCTTCCTCTTTGGGCCTTTTCCTTGTCCACGGGGAAGGCTGGCTAACTGACTGGTGGCCTGGTAATTTCACTCCGACAAGATATGAAGCTACATGAATCTTTGATAAGGTGCTCTAAAAAACATGAAGAGCAAGAAAGAAAAAGAGGAGAATAAGCAGTCGCAGGAAAGGCAGGAGCGAACTCCAGCTGAGCAAGCCAACGAGGTGCTAGCTCAACAGGCGTCCCAGATGATTGCGGCACGGGTTGCTACACTCCTTTGCCCCACCTCCAAATGCTACAAGGAAAGCACAAGGCCCAGGCAAGGGCGCCTCCGATAAAATTACAACGCGAGGCTTACACTAACAGGGCATACCTACCAGGCATACTGCAGGGATTCATCAGCATACCGGCTTTGCCGGGTTTGGGTAAGCTCCCAACCAATGACTTACGCGAGATAGTCAAGGAGCACTCCCATGAGCGTATATAGAGCATCGTAGGGAGGCCTCTACAGCCTATCCCCGCATTCCAATACTGGCCTCCCTACAAGGCGACTTTGATGAGGAAGTGTCACCTGGGCCCATAGCCATCCTCCAATAAAAGCACTTCGAAAAGTGGATACAGGCAGAAGATGCGCGGAATCTACCTCTGCAGATAATTGTGGTGTTTAGGACCATCAAACAACATTCCCAGACACTTTACCTGGAGGATTTTCACCGAGACGCAAAGTCATCATCACATCCTCCTGGTGCCAGGCAACTTCCCGACCAACGCACATAAATACAGGATATCACCGGACTGGTTTGCATTCCACAAACAAAGAATAAATACGCAGTCAGCAAATGGATGAACCACCCGGCTTTTTGTCCCATTTGTTCCAAGACTATCATGACTGGCGCAAGACGGTTGCGCAGTCAGCAAAGTGCGGCAAGTATTAAACTGCCATACTACTCTTCCTGACTTTTTGCTGTCCGCTTTTCAACATGCATATGATTTAGAGAGATAAAAGCTTTTGTGCATTTGATGTTGAAGCGGGCTTTTATCAAATTCACATGGCCAAACGAGGCTGGTGATATTGTGTTTTGCTCTGCCTTGGGACTGTTTAAATCAAGATTATACGATCTCGTGTCGAAATTGCCCCAGTTATGTGCCGAGCTGGTATAAAAATTTGTCACCAACTTCTACGAGGTGAGCCACTGCCTATTACGATTGCGATTCCATGACATGCAGTTCCGGTTTTTGCCCATGCGTGAAACCTCTGCAACAGGCTTTCAGGACGCTTTTCGAGAATTGATTCTCTTGGAAGTTCCTTAAATGCAAGTTTGCTCGAAAAGAATTCACTTATTTCGACTACGTCATCAGCTCTGAGGGTGTAAAGTGCAGTGAGCAAGGCGTCGCCTCATTCCTACATGATACCTGTAGTGGCGAATTAACATGCATACGCTAGAGGTGCCTGAAAATTCGTGGGGACTGGGGCTTGCGATAGCGCGGGCACCAGTGCAGGCCTCATCCCCACATGGCCTAGGAGGCGAGCACCCCGAGTGGGGCGAATTGAACGACAATAGATTTTGGAAACTCAAGAATAACTGTATTCCGATATATATAAGCTACTATTTCAAGGAAACAGGCCAACTTTAGGTGCCGATCATAGGTCCTGCTCGGGGGGCAGGTAGCAGCGTAGCCGCAGCAGTAGGCGCTGTGCACTACACCGACCACGAGAGCGGGGAACCGCGCTCGCTTCTCCTATTGCGAGCATCAGTGGTGTCGATGATGTGTCGTGCGAGCAGGTGTTAGGAAGACCGGGACGGCGAGACAAGGCATCAGCAACTTGATTGCGCGCTCCTTGAACATAAGTGATGTGCAAATCTGGGAACTCCGCAAGAAAGTCTAGCCACCGGGCGGTGCGTCCGCGCAGAGGCTTCGACGCTTGGAGTTGTTCGAGATGGGTGAGAGCTTGATGATCAGTGTAAGCCGTTACCTTGGAGACACGGAGCAAGTGCGACCGCTTATCCAGTGCCATGACCGACGCCAAGAGTTCCTGATCGTAGATCGAGTATATCTTTTGCGTGGGGTTCATGACTTGGCTGAGGAAGCCGACGGGTTTGCCGTCTTGTTCCAGAAGTGCTCCGATCGCACAACCAGAGGCATCTGTGTGTAACTCGAAGGGCTTCGTGGTGTCAGGGACTTGTAATGTAGTGAAGTCGATTAAGCGCTGTTTGAGCTGCCGCACCGCTTGCGTGTGAAGCTCTGTGCATTCGAAACTGACGTCTTTACGCGTAAGATCAACCAGCGGCCGGGCAACGTCGGCATAGTCCGGTCCCATGAACACGCGATGGTAATTTATGGTACCGAGGAACTGGCGCACTTGCGTTTCGTTCTCCAGCACCTCTGGCCAATGCATGCCCAACCTTCCCTTGCAGGCAAATTCAAATAAAATAGGGAAAGAAAGGGCTCAACTTCTACTGGGTGCACCTTTAGGTACTGATAATCATCACACAGTTTGGTCGCAACAGACACACCGGATCGTTCGATATTTCAACATTTCGGTGCTTGTTAATAGTGAATGCGAAACACATAGTGGGTTGGGCAGTAGAGGGCACGTTAAACGAAAGCAGAAGTGGTAGTTTCCTTAACATATGGGGAAGCCAGTGGACTGCGTTGTGGATGAAAGTTTAAGCCCCAGCGTTGGAAGCCGCTAAATTTGTTCAGGTCTCACTGGCATTTGAAGCGGGAGAGCTGTGCCCAGCCACTTCAAATGACAGCGATACGGCAGTGTAAAATTTGCCAGGGGAAGAAAAAAAGATGCCAAGCACGTCACAAATCGGAATGTAATCACAAGCCATCATTTGTAATTCTCTGCATTCTTATGGAGGAAAGAAGAGCGCCCATATTTATACTTCACCTCTTTTCAAACAGTAACCCAGCCAAGCATCTATTGACTGGTCTTGCGTGCATGCAAAAAATTGTGCACAATGATATGTTCACTTGCTTACCTTGCTGCTTGCTGTCTGGTCACCATTCTTAGCCCACGAGCGGCCCTTTTCCCCCACTTTTGGGCTTCCATCGGAAGTGGTTTCTGTGGAGACCGGCTACTGAGGCTAATGTAAACAATATAAATTCTATGAGTTACCCCACTTTGCTTCCGTAGTTCCATGGCATGATGCTTGCAAGGGGCAAAAGACTATGAAGTAGTGCGATTATACATGCACTAAATAGTTTTCCTGGAGGTTCGGGTGGTTTACGCTTCCAGATTGCCAGCTTTTTCCTATGCCTGAGCCAGCCAAGCCTGTGGTCCTTCGGTTGTTTCGTTTTTCACTGGAACTGTTTCCGTCAGTACACAGCCGCAGCTAGCTATTAGAGGAGTGAAATGCACAATTTTGCTGCAACCTTGGGCCGTCCAAGTGCGCGTCTTTTGGCTAACTGAAAATATCAAAGGTTCTTCCTCTAAAATGGTGGCTTCTTGCTCACCTGTGGGCTGTGTAATCACTTCGGAATAGCAAGCGCCCTCTCTATGTTTCTGCCTTACTCTGCAATCTATTAAGATTTAGTTGTGCCGTTTTCCACACCATGGAAGCCGCACTTGAAGCATACGACGCAGCGGAAACTTCACGTCCTTGATTGGGTATTCTATATAGATTGATTCAATGATTTACAGCGAAGAAATTCTCGGTTGAGCCGGCCCTTCCTAGATGAGTGTATTGAGTGCGTGCGGTGTAGCAGCCACGTCGTTGGCCCGGCAGCAACAAGCGGCTCCGCAGCTGCAGAGCGCTTCATGACGTTGTACTTCCTCGCCTGTCAGAGCATGTTGTGACGCAGGCAGAAGGGTTAATCGCAACTAACTTGTATAGTTAATGTGAAATGGAGTCATTTGGTAAGCAATTCTGTGCTTCTCCTTCAGGATTCATCGGTGCCTTCTCACCAATCCATGGACATTGAGCTCAATGGCATTGGGTAGCAACGGCTAGCCTGACACTCACCGTCGAAGCAAGTTTCCACCTGCGACGGACTTCACCTCTTTTACCTAACGCGTTTCCAGAGTGTTCAGCCAAAGCGGCAACTGTGCAATTGACCGGAATAGTCCCACTGGCTGCAAGAATTTATTTGCATGCTTACATACTTTAAAACTTTCTACAATTAGGCAGGGCGATATGTCTGCATGTTGCACACGGACGCTAGGCAAGCCGACAGGCGTCAAAAACGTGGGGCCGCTGCCACTATCACAGTTGCTAGTCCGTTTTAAAGCTACCCTGAAGGCGCCGATGCCTTCTAGCATGCCTACTGCTACGGCAACTGCGCATGCTGCTGCGGCGATCCATACGGTGGGTCTCTAATTTTGAATGGCACATGGCTACTTGCTACACTGAGAATAGCAGCACAGGAGAAAATTCCCAACAGCTGACCACATTCAAGGCAAGTGCACACTGAAATTACTTTCGAGCATGAAATGTACTTACACTACTTAAACGGTTCCTCTTTGTGTTCACGTAATGAAGCTTCCATTGGGGTCGCGTAGTTGGTCGCGTGCCCAGCAGCCGGTGCCACATCATGAAGGTCAAGTTCCTTTACTTCTCCCCAAGCATCGTACTCACTTGTTTTTATTATTAACGTTTTTTCTTTTATAGCATTTCTTTTGTTTGACGACGGTAGAGGACAGATTGGCCTGGTCACTTAAGTGACACCATTGGCGTGACTGGTGGTCCATTGGCCCGGCGTTCCCTTTGAAACCTCAAAATTTAAGCTCTATTTCCTTGAAAAAATACCTCCATATTAAATTGTAAGCTTTATTACTACATGTTTGTTAACTTTCCTTCTCATGATCCTCTGAGATATGGACAGATACTGCCATGCATTATAGTACCTTTCTCGCGGACACCACCAGCATACCGGCTGCCTAACTTCGGCATTATTTGGCAGTTTACTTCTATTTTCAAGTCTTTGGCCGAGGATAATTATATTTTTATCCCTATCCCTGAAAAACTGGCCAGGCACAGGCTGGTGACAATCGTCCAAGGACTCAAATGCGTCAAATCCCCGCCGGAGCCACGCCAAGACCCTCAGGACCTCCTAGGGTAGCCTACGGCACGAAACTCCAACTATTCAGCAGTTTCTGATTCTTTCAGGAAGGCTACGGGCTGAATTGGCCTAAAAACGGCGCGGGGAAACCTTTCAGTCTCTCCGGCTAACAATCGAGACAGAGTTGCACAGAGCCCCCAAAAATGGGACACAGAAGGTTTTAGAGCTCTCCACAGAAGAATAGTCGCCTCAGAGGCTCCAGTTATCTGTGACAGTTGCTGCTGCCGCCCGCACCAAAGAAGCAACTCCAGATGCTGTTGCTCCCAAAACTCAGTGAGGGGTCCTGCGGCTACGAATCCCGGGAGCAACAACAGGACGATTTGGCTTTGGTCCAGCAGCAGGAGCAGCAGCAGCAACAGAAAGACCAAGAAAAACACCGACTGCAGCAACAATGTAGTCAGCTGGTCCAGCCCGTCGTTCACCAACAGGACCCTCCACAGGAAGACCAGCATTACAGTGGCACGCACCTTCAGAAACGGAAGCAGCAAATTGGTAATCAGAACCAGCAACTACAGGTTGATCAAAACAGGCGGCAAGCGCCGATTCCTAACGAAGACGAGCAGCAGCGCCGTCTCCTTTGTCGGGAAGAGCAGGAAAAGCACCACCTGACAGGCTACTCAGCTCGCACAACTGCAGCTACAGATGTGGTGGAGAGCTTCTCGGGAAGTTCAGAAGTTGTGCCGTGTTGCGTGTCGACTCTACCGCTACCCACAGCAGCAGTAGAAGCCGCAGAAGAAGCACGGTCAACAGCAGCAGCTGCAAATGTTGCTGCATTGCGGAAAGCTTCGAACCGAAAGCGGCGTATCAGGAACAAAGGAGCCCAGCAACGAAAAATTAAGCTAGCAGAGGCTGTTGTTGAAAACACCTTAAGTTCCCTTAGTCGTAATGCAGCAGAGGCAGAACTGAGAGGCACAGAGGCAACGGAACTGCTCCCGGAAGCGACAGCAGCGGCAAATGCTCCTTACTGTGGGGCAAAGCACGACGAGGTGATGCAGCAAGATGCGCCCGTGCAAGTGAAACCTCGAAAAAGGTATAAAGGAAAGGCAGCTCCTGCCGTCAAGTGCAGTACGCAACAGCAGCAACTGCAGCGGATACAGCAAAAAGAGCAACTGATGCAGCAGCCTAATTTTTGGCATTCTCCTGCTAAGCAGCAGAAGAGGCGTCTGCAAGAGCTGCAGCAAGAACTGCAGCAACAGCAGCAACAACAGACCTTTTCGCTGCCCATCCCACGAGCAAATGTACAGAGTCTAACAGAGTGTTTGCCGATGCACGCACAGCCCTGACTCTGCTGGTGGCAGTGCTGATCTGTGGGTGATGCCGGCAGCGTTGCTAGCTGCTTCTCAGGAGGGGCAGCGTCTGCAGCAGCAGCCGCAGGGACCGCCGCAGCAGCTGCAACCTGAGCCGCCGCCACAGCAGCAACAGCTGTGGTAGGTTCTCCCGGATCACTGCGCCATGGTGCATACAAAAGAAGGATATGATATACAGCGCCACCTGACTCAACAGAACAAACACGGTATTGAAGAGACTTTATCAATGGTCTCTAAAGCACAACCCAGCAAAAGGAACAGTTGATGTCGCTGGATGGATCCGTCCACCCTGCTGTCGTGCACCCGGCAAGGCGGCAACGGAAGACTACTTCATCATGTTTCGAGGCAGGCCATCAGGCACAAGTGCAGCAACATGTTCTTTCTGAGCAGCTGGACCACCAGCCGCTGCAACGCTCGCCAAAGAGGCTAGAGCGGCAGCCAATGGAGCGCCGGCTTCTGTGCATGCGACGCTGTTACTCTTATCCGGAGCTGCCATTCGTGTACACGCAGGAGGAGCTGGAGAATGCAACAAAGTTAATATGCCGGCAGCAGCAGCAGCGGCCTCCATCGGCGCAGCAGTTACCAGAACGAAGCCCCTGGCAGCACCAGCATATGCTGCAGCAGCAACAGCAGCAGCCGCAGCCTGCTGAGTTTGGCTCGCTTAATGCACAAGACGAAACGTGCCGCCTCGTGTACACACCCCCAGCCTTATCGAACCCGTCACGAAAAGCATGCGCCAGATATCGCTGTGATACTCGTAAGGGCCCCACTGCTTTGACAGCGTGTAAAGAGGTGTGAGGCCTTGGTACCCACTATGAGTTCCATCCGCGGAAAAGCTGAGCATGCGGTTCTGCAACAGAATGTTGAAAAGCGGGTACCTTTTACTGTTGCTGCTGCAGCTGCTCATGAGCCTGCAGCTGTCCATATGTCTGGCGACCGCGCAGCTCCCTCTACTGTACCAGTGGCCGCAGCGCCCACCAATGCAACTGTTTTCCCTGAGTTTACTGCTTTGCTTGTTTCTCGCGCACCTGATGTCTCTGCCAAGCCTGCTACTTCCTCGCCATCCCCCGCATCTGCTGCTGCTGCCTTTGAAAAGGAGAACAAGCCCTCCCCCAAGCGCTAACCCATGCGCAGTCAACCAGTGACGTCGAGTCTTGAAAGCAGAAGACGTGTGGCCCATAAAACTTTTGTCTGCACTGAAGAGCTCAAAACCCAACAGCAACGCTCCACGACTAATTCCAGTAGTAGTAGCAGCATCAGTATCGGGAGCAACAATCTTCTGCAGGTTTGATCCCCGCAGCAGAAATGTTATAACCCAAATATGTAATTGTTTGCCTTGCAAACTTGCATTTGCGGAATTTTGGGTAGAACTGATATATGACAAAGATGCTTGGGACTTGTCGCAGGAGAGCAACGTGCCCAGAGAGATCGGAACTATTGATAAGTACATCATCTAGGCACGCAATAACGCCCTGTCCCAATAAAGGTTGTGGATAGGCATTAATATTGGCCTGAAAGGTAGCGGGAGCACCCTTAAGGCCGAAGGGCATTACTCAGTACTCGAATAGTCAGAGAACGGACCGGAAAGCCGTCTTCCAGCGGTCTTCCTTAGCCATGCGTATTTGATGAAATCCCGCTTCAATCCAAAGTGCAAAAATACTTGGCGCCTCCCAGCATCTCCAGAATGGTTTGAATGGGAGGTAGTGGAAATTCAGGGGCTATCGTAAGGGCATTTAGAGCCTGGCAATTAACAACCATACGCATCTTCCGCTCCCCGGAGCCATCATCACGTTTGTCTACCATGATCGTAGGGGAGCAAATAGGCGAATAGGTCGGTCCGATCCAACCGCTGTCCGATAATTTAGCTATCTCTTGTTTGTGGAATGTGAGCTGATCTTGGGTCACACGGAATATTGCAGATTTCGCTGGAAGTTTTCCAGGCACAAGTAGAATATGGTGATCATGAGAGGCGCTTCGGCGGTAATCAATCCCTTAGGTAAGTTATCGGGAAAAACCGCTCGATACTCGTGCAACACCTGGGCAATCTCACATGGAATATGCTGCGCCTCTGTCGAATTTATCCATTCGTCGAACAGGGTGTGCTCGAGCTTTGCCATAGGCCAGGGAGACTCCTCGTCACTTTCCGCTGCCGGCGACGCGGTTGAGGGCAAAGAACTACCCCAGCCGGAAGACGTCGGTTGATTCCCACTTGACGCGCAGCAAAGCGCGCCTTGCCATTCATCCGAGAACCTTAGGGGCACCGCCGAAGCGGCTTCGGGCAAAGCCAGTATGAAATGCAAACCGTACAATGGAGCGCTGAGACTCTTGTGTCAGCCGCCGCCTGACGAACGAGTGACGTTATCCGCGCCTTCGCCTTAGTCTTTGCGTGGGGCTTACACCTCCTTGGAGGCGGGCGTAGGAATATAGCTGCCTCCTCGGCTGACATACCCGCCACTTGTTTGGCCAATATCTCATATGCTTGGTCTGCCTGGGTCCTTGGGTGGACTACGGTGGGACTCTCACCTTGCAGCTCTGCTTCTCCAATCCTAACGACCGGTAACTCGCACTACTGGCCATTCACATAGGTTCGGAGTTTGTCGGACTGAAAATACCAGGCCACCTTGTGTTCCGTCAGCCAATCCAAACCCAAGACTAAGTCATAGGGAACGGGTCCCACTAAAATGTCCCCGGCAAAACGTGCATGTCCGCACCACATCGTCAATCCCGTCACAACCCGTTCAATGCGTAGTTGTTCACCTGTAGCTACGGTGAACCTATGCTCTTTTGGAAGTCTCCGCACTTTCAGCTGCAGTCGTTCGACTGTTTTAGGACTAATGAAACTTCTCAAAGCCCCAGTGTCCAAGAGGGCCTCACAAGGACTCCCTGCGAGCTCAACGCAAAGTACCGCCGTCGCACCCACACAACACAATGCTCCCCCTTTGTCGTAAGACTCTTTCGTGCAATTTTCCCTCCACCAGTGTAGCACAATCTCTGTCGCGTCTAACCTATAGCCGTCTTCTGTTGCCTCTGCAGGCATCCTGCTGCTATCCGTCGTCGCTTCCGGAGCCTCTTCACTCAGGACCCACGCCGACCCAGACTCCCACCGCGTCTTCAAAAGCGACTGAGTCCCTTCCGCGTGCCCATCGCTCGTACTAGTTCCTTCCGCAGTGCTGAGGAGCTGGTTTCCCCACTCAAGGGGGACTGGAATGGCATTAGGGCCTGTCGCTACCGCAAACATCATCCCTTTGCCATGGCTACGCGGCCTAGAACGCTCGTCTCCAACCACGCCTAGGCCCCCCTGTTTAATCGTTCCGTCTTCTCAGTGCTAGGACGGGTGGGCTCCCTACTGCTCTTGTCCCCCGGCTCGGGCCGGCCTCGTTCATACGTAGGATAGTCCAGAGCATAGTGTCCCACACCGCCACACTTCTTGCATATTTCCCCCGGACGTTTGGTACGGTCCCCTTTGCTGGGGCAGGCACGTGCCGGATGTCCGCGACCCTGACACTCAAAGCAGTTTGCGTGGGTTCCCCCAGGTCGATTTTCAATTTCCTGGCGCCCACTGGGTCCATTAGCTTGGATAGCAGCCCTAATGGCTCGACTGGTCCCTTGTCGGAGTTCCACCATACTCTGCTTGGGCTCGTAGAGCCGTGCTGCAGCTGTCGCCGCTTGTTCCCACGACTGATATTTCATATTTCACCTGTTCGTTATTGGTTATTAGAAGATGGAGGTCTGTCGGTAGCCTGGTGCAGTCATAGTCAGCGAGTTCGTCGGGGGCAACACCCAAACCACGCTCCGCTACAGCCGCAAGCCGGTCCGTGTATTGCTTCGGGTTACCATTCCACCGTACTTTAGCCAACTCTGTTAACAATTGACTCTGCGACATTGTTTTGTCAAGCCGCTCCAAAAGCGTGCGCTGTACTGTCGCCCAGTCGCTTAGGTCGATAGTTCTCCGTAGATACATCCAATACGTTAGAGCCGGGCCCACAAGGTAGTCAATAAGTGCATTTCCCCACTCGCGCCGCTCCAATCCCATCTGGCTGTACCGGCGATCGATGAGCAGCAGAAAGGCCTGCATAGTGCTGCCGTTTTTTGGTAGTATGGGAATCGTTGCGCCTGATTCCACGGTCCCCCCTATAAAAGTTCTTATCACACTCATAGCGGACTGAAATTGGTCCCACGTGACGAAGGCACTGTCCCCTGGCATAACATGGGTCATAGATATTATCTGCGGGGGCGCCTCCTTATGCCCATGCGGCCGCTCTGCCACGGTGGGCTTCGGAGTCGCATGGCGATGATGGGCCGGTGTCCCGCTCGGCATTTTGTTTGCTGATATTATAGAAGTCTCCTGCGGTGTGGGAACGATAACGCGTCCGTTGCGGAGATGCATCCTTTACCGAGCGAAGATTTCTAGGCGTGAATTATTAAAACATAGTATTTCTACTCCCAAGTCCGGAAAGAACAAAGATTTCAATCCACGAACAGCCCCCAAATGTAGTGCACAGCGCCTACTGCTGCGACTACGCTGCTACCTGCCCCCTCGAGAAGGGCCTATGATCGGCACCTAACGTTGGCCTGCTTCCTTGAAACAGTAGCTTATATATATCGAAATACAGTTATTCTTAAGTTTCCAAAGTCTGTTGTCCTCAAATCCGTCCCACTCGGGGTGCTCGCCTCCTAGGCCATGTGGGGATGAGGCCTGCACTAGTGCCCGCGCTATCGCAAGCCCCAGTCCCCACGAATTTTCAGGCACCTCTAGCGTATGCATGTTAATTCGCAGACAAATTGCCTTACTTTGATCCTAGTAGGAGGGTCCTGTCCTCCTCCAGTGTTGCGACCCCTTGTAGGTCGCTAGCTAGCTATCTTCTATAGGTCACCAGCAAGCCCTATTGTAGTGCCTGTGCACTACAGGCAGGTAGCAGCGTAGTCGCAGCAGTAGGCGCTGTGCACTACAGAATTGGTCCCACGTGAAGTATGGACTGTCCCCTGGCATGCTGTTAACATTGGTTATAGGTGCCACCTGCTGGGGTGTCTCCTTATGTCCGTGCGGCGGCTTTGCCACAGAGGGTTTCGGGGTAGGATGTTGAGGATTGGTTGGTGCTTCACTAGGCAGTTTGTTTACTGACATTGTAAAAGTCTGCTGTTGCATAGGTCCAACCACGCGTCCGTTGCGTAGGTGCATCCTGTGCTCAGCTAAGATATCTAGGTATGAATTATTAAAGCAAAGTATTTCTACCCCCAGGCCCGGAAAAAATTGTTTTTATATCCCAGAGCACCCCCAAATGTAGTACACTCCGCTCTCTACAGCGTCTACGTTGTTGCACAACCCTGAACCCTGGCATCCAATGAAATCTTCACTATTACCGACGCATCGGTCGCGTAACGTCTACCAGTCCGTTTTGTTTCAAGTTCTGAAAACCATGTTTCTTATTCATGTCGTTTCTTATCGTTCTTGCTTTGCTGGTCCGGTGAGGATGTGATGCGCACCGGTGCCGGCGTTGTCGGCAGCCCCAATCTTAGAGCATTCGCGAACATTTCTAGTTTATACTTGATAATTTGTTAATAACTTGCATTTCTGTTTCATTAGTAAGAGGTTACAGCGCTCAATCCGCGTCTCAACCTCCTAACTGCTTATAGATCATCAGTTAGCTATCCTCTATAGGTCACCAGCAGGCCCCACTGTAGTGCCTGCGCTCTACAATTGTAGTGCCTGCGCACTACATAGATTGTAGTGCACAGCACCTACTGCTTCGACTACGGTGCTACCTGGCCCACGGGTAGGGGCCTACGATAACCGTCTACCTACGGTGCGCCTCCATGAAAGAACAATCCACATATCACGAAATGTAGTTACTTCAAGTTTCTCAAAATCTATTTTCTTCAAAATCCCCCCCACTCGGGGTTCTTGCCTCCTAGGCCGTGTGGGGAGGAGGCCTGCACCGGTGCCGGCGCTATCACCAGCCCCAATATCCAGATATTCACAGACACGTCTTGTGCACAGCACCTACTGCTGCGACTCTGCTGCTACCTGCCCCCTCGAGTCGGGGCCTATGATAACCGTCTACCTTCGGTGCATTTCCTTGAAACAGTAGTCCAAATATCACCAAATGCAGTTATTTATAGCTT